GTCTCCCACATCTCCCGCACCTCATCCCTCACACCCCGTCCACGCAATAAAAACCAAAAAAGAATCCCCCTCGTCCTCACGTACCACCCCACCAACCTCCGGATCCAACGCATCATCCTCCGACACTTCCGCCATCTGCAATCCGACCCCACCACCAAAGACATCTTTCCCTCCCCACCCTTATCTGCTTTCCGGAGGGACAACTCTCTCCGTGACTCCCTTGTCCGCTCCACACTCCCCTCCAGCTCCACCACACCCGGCACTTTTCCCTGCAACCGCAGGAAGTGCTACACCTGCCCCCATACCTCCTCCCTCACCCCCATCCCAGGCCCCAAGAAGACTTTCCACATCAAGCAGATGTTCACCTGCACATCTGCCAATGTGGTATACTGCATCCGCTGTACCCGGTGTGGCTTCCTCTACATCGGGGAAACCAAGCGGAGACTCGGGGACCGCTTTGCAGAACACCTACGCTCGGTTCGCAATAAACAACTGCACCTCCCAGTCGCGAACCATTTCAACTCCCCCTCCCATTCCTCAGACGACATGTCCATCCTGGGCCTCCTACAGTGCCACAACGATGCCACCCGAAGGTTGCAGGAACAGCAACTCATATTCCGCTTGGGAACCCTGCAGCCCAATGGTATCAATGTGGATTTCACAAGCTTCAAAATCTCCCCTCCCCCTACTGCATCCCAAAACCAGTCCAGCTCGTCCCTGCCTCCCTAACCTGTTCTTCCTCCCACCTATCCCCTCCTCCCACCTCAAGCCGCACCTCCATCTCCTACCGACCAACCTCATCCCGCCCCCTTGACCTGTCCGCCCTCCCTGGACTGACCTATCCCCTTCCTAACTCCCTACCTACACTCACCTTTACTGGCTCCATCCCCGCCTCTTCGACCTGTTTGTTTCCTCTCCACCTATCCTCTCCTCTATTCCTCTTCTATCCGCCTCCCACTCTCTCCCTATTTATTTCAAAACCCCCTTCCCCTCCCCCTTTTCTGATGAAGGGTCTAGGCCCGAAACGTCAGCCTCTCTGCTCCTATGATGCTGCTTGGCCTGCTGTGTTCATCCAGCCCTGCACCTTGTTGTCTCGGATTCTCCAGCATCTGCAGTTCCTACTATCCCTAGGCCCGAAACGTCAGCTTTCCTGCTCCTCTGATGCTGCTTGGCCTGCTGTGTTCATCCAGCTCTACACCTTGTTATCTCCCCCCAACTCACAAGGGAGGCTGTGTTTGAATGGGGTTACATGATGCAAAGTGACTCGCAGCCAAACCCATTCACAGGCACAATATTGCAGTGCGATACAGCCCTGATATTTAAGGACTCTGGATTACTCATGGTACCATTGACCTCTTGGATCACACTTGGCTGATCTTACTGGAAAAATAAATCTGTTAAAACAATGTGCAAATTGGACAGCAAATTCAAGGGTTTAACAGGCACAAATAATATCCTGAACGTCCACCGTCACCCGACAATCTTTAAGAACTTATGGAACTTGTACATTAATTGCCCATTAAACTTGCCACCAAAAGTTACATTATGTAAAGACAGGCACAAATTTTTTTTGCATGATATGATAATAGTGAACACAGTACTGATCAAGTGCTTTGGGCCAGAAATTGAACAATTTTGACATGAAATCTCATTTCTTCAAGTGGTAAATTGTTTTTAGAGATTTTTTAAATGCCAAATTTTATATTTTGTTTTCCTCTGTCTCTTTCTGTCCTCCATAATCCAATATTTCTTGTTTTATTTATCTTTCTATCCTTGATGTGACCCTAATTCACTCTTCTCCTCACTCATTCCTTACATCTTAAATTTGTTCAGATGATACCCCAATGACCTAAAGTCTCAGAAGCTCTGTTGTCCTTGCTGTTCAAATACTTATAAGCTGAAAGTTGCTGGAAAGAGGCATGTAGCTATATATATCATAAAGGTTCAATTCCGGAACAATATAGTCCATTACTTGACCTCGAGTATGCAAATAAGCTTTTCAATCCACAGCCTCCAAATTCCACAGCAGCAATCTAACAACATGGAGAAAAACAAATTGCTGGGAAAACGCAGCAGGTCTGGCAGTAACTTTGGAGAGAAAGCAGAGACAACGTTTCAGGTCCAATGACTCTTCTCCATTTGAATAAGGGTTACTGGACCCAGAATGTCGGCTCTGCTTTCACTCCACAGATGCTGCCAGACCTGCTGAGTTTTCCCCAACAATTTCTGCTTTTGTTTCTGATTTCCAGCACCTGCAATTTTGCTTTTGTTTTGTTTAATCTAAAAATATTCCGTTATGCAAGAGGCTTAAATAACCATTTGATTGTCCCTGTGAATGTCCTAAATATAACTTTGATGGCATAATAAAGTAACCACTAAAGGTCGGCTACGCACTAAAGTCTTTCTTCATGAAGACTTTTCTGGAAAATCATTTTTCTAGGGAATGGAGCAAAAAAAGTGGAAGAGCCAGATAACATTCCTGCTATGAAGCAACACAAACAGGTGGATGATGTAGTAGTAATGCAACTGGTCAAGTAGTCCAGAGACTCAGTCTAATGCTGTGGTATTGGGGAGGGCCTTGGGTAGTGTTGTAGAACAGAGGGACCTAGGGGTTCAGTTAAATAATTCTTTTAAGTTCGCATCACATTTGACAGGGTGGTTAAAAAGGCATTCAGCACACTTACCTTCATTGCTCAGTACTTTGAGTATAGGAGTCGGGAAGTCATGTTGAGGTTGTACAGGACATTGGTGCGACCTCTTCGGGAATATTGTGTCCAGTTCTGGTTGCCCAGTTATAGGAAGGATATTAAGCTAGAGAGGGTTCAGAAGAGATTCACCAGGATGTGGCCAGGTATAGAAGGCTTGAGTTATAAAGAAAGGCTGGATGGGTTGGGACTTTCTCCACTGGAGCATAGCAGGTTGAGAGATGACCTTACAGACATTTATAAAACAATGAGGAGTATAGATAGAGTTAATGGTAGTTGATGGAGAGATTTCAAGACTAGGAGGCACATTTTTAAGGTGAGAGGAGAGAGATTTAAAAAAAAGATATGAGACACAATTTTTTTTTACACAGAGGGTGGTTCGCATGTGGAATGAACTTTCTGAGGAAGTGGTGAATGTGCGTACAATTACAACGCTTAAATGACATTTGGATGGGTATATGAAAGGAAAGGTTTGGAGGGATATAGGCCTGGAGCAGTCAGGTGGAATTTGTTTAGTTTGGGATTGTGTTTGGCATGGACTGGTTAGACAAAAGGGTGTGTTTCTGTGCTGTA